CATCGAAATATTTTGAGGCTCACAGAACCAGGCAGTCTTCCAGGATGCTTTTCCGGTAAACATCAGCACTGACCTTCATCTTCTCAGGCTCGAAAACGAGCGGAGTGCGGTAATCCTGGCCCAGACCGTTACAGAATCTGCCCCTTGATGCTGAGTGGCTTGAAAAAAATCAGGTTTAGATTTTTCATTTTGGTCCATCTTGGAGAGCAAAAAATAAGCTACAAAACGCTATTCTTTGGATTCTCTCAAGCTATCCCTGAACAGAGAATGGGGAGAGAATTCCACAGGAAGACTCGCGAAAATCAGTCGATGCTTTCATGGGTCATCTGAACCTTGTCATTTGCACCAAGGGTGGCTATATTGAAAAGTGTTAAGTGATTCTAAATGAGTTAGCTGTCCTTTTTGTTGTGTATGAAAATATTTCCTGATTTTCAAATTTTTGCTGAGGTTATAGGCATATTGTGATGAGACACAACTTTCTTAACACCCTGTATATGAGACTGCCAAAATATACAATAGACTCAGGAATAAGAGTCCAATTGTACCTCAACTAATCTATAAATTTTGTTCTTTGCCTTTGTGTTGTACAAAAAGTATCTCCTAGTAGTACCTCATTACTACTTTTGGTACTGGATCAGTGATTCAGATTCCGAAAGGGAACACCTCCAAGTGTGAGACGAGCCTAGCATTACGTAATTAATAGAAATTAGTTAAGTAGGTTTTCTCTTTGGTGTTTTGGACATTCAGAAGTATTCTTTAGTCCTCTAAGTATTGTCCAATACTTATTATTTGACACTCATCCAGCGCGCCACCCTGAGTGTCTGGAGGTAATTTCGTAGAGGAACGAGACAAGTCCAGTGGCACATCTGAATCAGTTTTTAAGTTTTTGCTCTAGGCCTGCAAGTTCAATTGCCAAAGATTGGTCCCCAACCTCGTACTTCTAGATCTATGAAAGTAATTGCCTGTTAAAGGTGAAGCTTGCTGGACATGAAGTTCTGGATAGAGGCATGGAGTCTCAAAGATGCTGAGCGAATGTATCTCATGTGGACAGGAGATGTGAGTGGAAAGTTTGCATGGAACATATGGGTAGGGACAGCCTTTGACCCGAAAAACAGGGCATAAAAAGGCCCCATGGTTCCCCCCATTATCTACCTAGATTATCCAGGCTAGTTATATGTACGAGGGGAAGCTGAAAAGTTCGCGACTTTTCCGAGAAGAAAACGCAAATTTGGTAAACTGAATCAATTTTATTCAACATAGTCACCCCTCAACTGTACACACTTGTTACAACGTTCCTCCAATTTTTTTCAATCCCCGCGAAAAGAACTCCTTAGGTTGGTCCGCGAACCAGATGTCTGCGGCACCAATGACCTCCTGATCGGAAGCAAATTTCGTCCCGTTCAGGTGTTTCTTCAACGCTGGGAAGAGATAATAATCCGAGGGGGCGAGGTCCGGCGAATAGGCCGGGTGGTTCAACAATTCGAACCCAAAATCCTTGATTTTCTGGTGGGCGGTGTGGGCAGGCGCGTTGTCTTGCAGAAAGAGCACCCCCCGACTCAGTTTTCCCCCGCCGTTTTTCCTTCAGAGCTTCTCGCAATTCATCTAATAGGGACATGTAGTAGGTGGCGTTGATCCCCTGGTACTTCGGCAGGTACTTCATCAAGATGACACCGTCCTCGTCCCAGAACACGGAAGCCATGATTTTTCCGGCCGATTTCTGAACGCAGAACTTCTTCGGCCGGGGAGACCCGCTATGGCGCCATTCTTTGGATCGTTCCTTCGTCTGGGGATCATAATGGTGGAGCCACGTTTCATCCATGGTCACCAACCTGGCCACA